CACTATACTGCCTCCAAACGTGCCATTCTAGCAAGAACAGAATAATCGCCATCTACTTCAAGAGCCTGCCCAACCATTGCTTCCAACTGCTCAACTCTTTGACGCAGTTGAGCCTTTGTGCCACCAGCCATGTTCTCAAATAGCACCACAAAATCTGCCACCGGTCGTCTTTCCGCTGCCGCCCGCGCACTGCCTTGGCCTAGTTTCTGCCTTGCCCATGTCAACCTTCATTTCCCTCGTGCCATTGCTTGTATTTTCCTTCACATAGCCTTGCCTTAGCTATTGAAAGCCTTTGACATCATCCAGCATTTCCGCTTTGCCTTAGCTTAGCCCGCACTTAGCTGCCACAACCCAAAGTGTCGTGCCACTGATTTTGGCGCGCATGCAATGCCATGCCGCCCCAACACTGCCCATGCTGCCTTGTCAAGCCTTTGCCATGCGCGCCTTGCCTGTCCCAAGGCCTTGGCCAATACTTGCCCCCTGCAGCCCTCAATGACAATGTCTTGTCCGTCGCCCGCATGATCGTTTTGCCCGCACATAGGCCAATGACAAGGCCAATCCTTGCCACAGCCGTGCCCACGCCCGATGACAAAGAGTCAGGTCCTAATAGAAGTCTACCTATGAGTATGTATATAAGGTCTGCCTACACACTACCCTCCCGAGACTCCACAGTGTGGGATAATACTGGGTATGTATTTTGATAATAATTAATGTCTAAATATTGTTTAATTTGAAGCTATCCTTTTTTAAGTTTTGATATTGTTTACTAACACGTCCAATTTATAGTTAAGCGCAGCCTCCGTAAATTAATTTCTACTTGCAACTACTTTTTTTTCAAAAACATAAAAGCCGCCATTAAATAATACTAGGATTTAGGATGACGAGAAGTACTACTTTGACCCTTTAAACAAATATTTAATACTAAGGATTATGGTTTTCTTGGTGAATTTCTCTCCACTCTAGATCATATCTTTCTGTGGGCCTACCATTCAAAATTGTTCTCCTTAGTTATCTTAACTCTTTTTCTTAGAAAATATAACTCTTTAAAAAGATTAAGTAATACTTACTACAATTGTTTTCGTGTCATCATATATGAACGCTTAGGCGCATACAGCACAAGTAACGAAACGGTCTTGTTAGTACGAGGGTGAAAATAGATTTACTCCTTAGTCCTTCCTAGTGTAAAAGACAATTATTCTAGCAGTAATAAAAACTAGTAATTTTTCGTGTTATTAATTAATCTCATGATTGTTATATGAATTATATTTTAAATGGCTGAAAGTGTGAAAAAATTACATTATTTGGTGTTTATAGATTTAAACTGGTCAACTCCCACAGCCAATTTGGAGTGAAAACAATAAGCTACCACGTACACACCCCATAGTGCTTACGCTGTAAAACTAGAATATGGTTTTAATAAAAATAATATAAACCAACAGAAAACTCATATATAAACTGATTCCATCAACCAACATGGAAGCTAGGGTCCAAACAGTCCAGGTGCTACACCATTATATTATTGTCCAACTAGGACGATAAATTCACACATATCATAGTACTGCATTTTATTTTCCTTAACACATGAAGCTTTATTCATGATAATTTGTTCATGTACGTGCACTCATTAGACATCAGTTGGAAGTTCCAACTTGGAATCAAAAGGTTCCTCATCAAGATCGCCAAAGGGACGTTGTCCTCTCCAATTACCAGGTGGATCATAATTGCAAGTTATAAAATACCACCCATTGTTGCATCTAACCCTAGCACAACCAAGACGTACTGAGTTACGCCACACCACCTGAGTATAATGTCCACATACTCCTCCTACGCAAGAATTTGAATTATAATCATAGAAACGCTTCTCATCAACCCACATTTTTACGGCACCAGCGGCGTTAAGTTGAGGGAAGGCGGCGGCTAGGTTTTCGCCGTAAGGGCCGTGAGAGTGGATCATCCCGCAGTCACCAATTCTTTGATTGGCATAATTTTGGGCATAGGCTGCTAGCCTATTGTCCCATGTCATGGGGCCAACGCCAACTTGTCTACGAGCTGCATTGTGAGGGTTAAGATAATCTTGGGGAGAGTTTTGAGCTTTGGATGAGTGAAATAATACAGCAAAGGTAATGAAACAAGCAACTAATGTTGTTAAGAATCCCATGTTTTGGGTTTTGGTGAGAAACAAAGTATAGTATGGATGGGTTTTTATAGGGAAGAATACCGAGTTAAAAAGTTTGCAACTTGTAAAAAGAAAAGAATTGATAGGTTACTTGTTTGCACAATCTTTAGCCATATTTGAAAAGAATAGTATAAATTATGGCTCCGTTAATTCAGACAATGTTAGATCCTGCAGCTATTCGTTAAAGAAGCAAAGCCGCCATTAAAAAAATCAATCTATTGATGAACACTATTATTGCCACGAATGATAAATCAAGAATTTATATTATAAATATAATTTTATACATTATCAGTGTATTTTAACCTATAGTAAAGAAAAAAGTTGAATTTGTTTAACTAGACGGGAAGTTGAGTAATCGATCCTGTATAGTTGGAGAGATCGATGCTGTCTAACTTCTATCAAATTCTATAAAACCGAATCGGAATATGCTTTAATTTGAAAGTGAAAGCATCCTTATAACTTATATTATTGTCTATATTTTAATGGAAAGCATTCCCGTTAGGTGTTAATTACTACAAGATCAAACCTCAACGTTATCTGCTATCGACATAAAATAATTAAGTGGCAAAGGGTGACATAAAATACCACCCATTGTTGCATGCAATCACATAAAATACCCCTTAATTATTTTAAGCGCAGCCTCCATAAAATAATTTTGTGATTGCATGCAAGTGGCAACTAGTTTTTCCACAAATAGAAAGCCGCCATTAAATAATACACTTGAGTGTACCATACCATTTAGGATCTACGATGTCCAATCCCTCGAAGTTGTAGTTCCAACTTCCAAGTTGAACTAATTAATAATTTCTATTCTTGGTGTCAGAGGCGGATCAAGATTTCAAGAGGATGGACGCAATATTGTGAAGAGGTGGATCTAGAATTTACATTTGACGGATTTAACTTTAGTCTCTTACCATGAACTCACAACACTTTTGAAATTCTAGGTTCAAAATTATACTCTTTTTGAAATTTTAGTAATTTTCACATATATATTTATACTTCGTGCTGAAAACAAGACCATTCGGAGTGGGATTTGAACTGTCAATTTCACATGTAGAGGGTGCACCCAATAATAATAATAATTGCATCATAAGAGTCTTTGAGCATGTGTTCACGCACATATATTTAAATAATTTTGAAGAAATATAACATTGTTATATATGGTTTGGGAAGAGGAGCATGGGTTTACATGAACTCATGCCCTTCTACTTGGATACGCCTCTGCTTGGTGTCACACATGGAGGTGAACGTCCTACCTGTTTGGCCAAACATTCAAAATTTGTTAATTTCGAAAAGTATCTTTTGTTTAAAAATATTCTTCGAAAAAAATACTTTTGGAGAGAAACATTTTGTATTTGACTAATTAATCTAAAAAGCATTTTTGTCAATGTTAGTGAAGCAAATTATACTTGGCCGAGGTTTCAAAAGTGCTTCCGGCGAAAACCTATATTCTCCAACTTCAGTAAAAGGCCTAAAAACTAACACGAGACGATTATTATATTAACGGTGAAGAACTGAAGTTGCACTCAAACATCAATCTTCTCGGAAGGTTATTTACCCGTTGTAAAAGATCATTTACCAAATTTAATAGTTCATGGGATGACATTTGGAATACTAGAACTTGGGATGCTTTAGAACATGTCTTCCCCAACAATTGTAAAAGTGGCAGTAGGCTTATTATTACTTCACGAAATAACAATGTTGGTAGATACATTATATTGGAGGTGCAAAAACACTTCATAAGTTGCAATTACATTTGAATCCAGAAACTAGTTGGAAGCTATTATATAGGCCAAATGGCCTCGTGGCCACTTAAACTTGAATCGGTTTGTAAAATCGATATATGAACTTACACTTTTCCCATTTGAAAACTTCAACTTGATAAAATGGTTACTAATAAATACCGTTGACCATTGACCATGCCTATGTGAAAGCGGTGCAACTGACATGGCTAAATATAATTGTGTGCAAATCACGCTGCCAAGGCATGTGGATAGTATTTTTTATATTAAAAAATATTAGAATTAGAATATAATATACTAAATAAGAAAGAAAAAAGAAAAAGAAAAAAAAAAGACCTTTCCCTCTCCCCTTCTCTTTTCCCATCCCCTCCCACCTCTCTCGTCTTCCCCAGCAAACTCCCACCCCCTTTCTGTAAGTTTTTTCATTTTCCCTCCCCTCCCCTTTCTCCATTTCTTTTCCCCTTCCTTTTCCCCCTTCAATAATATTTTCTTTCATTTGCTAGTCTCTGTTGATACCCAATTTTTTTCCTCACATATTTTAATACATATATATACTTTCAAAATAGTACATATGCAGTTATAAGCATGCATAAGTATTTTTATAATTTTTTTATAGTTTTTAAAAGGCTCCAAATCAATTTTTTTCTCCTCTTTTTATTAAAGAGAGAAGATGGTACTGATTGATATGGTGGTTGTGTGGAGTTGGTATTTGTAAGGGATGAGATTGAGTTTGTGTATTGGATGTGGTGCAGGAGGGTTTGTGGATGTTGGTTTGGTGTGTTTGGGAGGTGCTGGGTCTTTGGTGTTTTGTTGGTTGATGTCGGGGACATTCAAGGGTGAGTGAATAAGTTTTGCCAAGTTGGCGAACCTGCTCAAGCCTCTCCTTGTAGCCTCCAGTATCTTTTGTTCCACTCTCTCATTGGTGCCGAGTACTCGGGTACTAAAGTCTCTGCGTCTCAACATTCTCCTTTCCGAATACCATTAAGTCGTCATTTTTGTTTTTCTTTGCTTTTTGTATTGTTGGGGGGGGTGGGCCTTTAGATCTGGTTATGATACGCTGATGATGCAGAGGAGTGAACCAACCTTGGGAATGGGAAAATAATCTGGAAACAAAAGGTAACAAGTTAGTAAGGGTTGAAAATGTTGCAAGTATTTTCCTATTGCGCGGGTTAATTCGCGTCTAATTTGGGAGCCTCGTTGTCCGAAGTAGGCCTAGCGCGTTTGGGACTTTGGTGCACAATGCCTCATTTCTTTTGTGGAATCCCAAACGACGATAATAGAAAAGTAAGTCACTATTGGTACTGGCTTATTCTTTTGAGCAAATAAATCTAGTCTAAATTTTGGTCCAAAAGGACTTCCCCAGAATTCGATCTTCCTGCTCAATCGTACAGGTTCCCCAGCTCGCGCAGACCCAGCAGCAAAGTAGGCTCTGGCCGATGTCCTCCTTCAGTTCCCTCAGAGTCTGGCAATCTCAATCCTCTTTATGACTCAAATACCCTCGTCCACTAATCCTCAGCTCCAGATTTCACTTTCTGTTGGAATGACTGCCAATTTCTTTCGCCATTTTGATCAACCTCACATCCCTTCGTGTATTTCCCGGTGCTGTCATATCTTCAGAGTCGTGGGACCTCTTGCGTAGCCTGTTGTATTTGACTTGAGCTTCAGCTTTTCGTCTAACGATCTATTCCCTAACGGCTCGTGCTCACTTCCTTTTAGATTGTCTTCTAACCATGCGGGTAGAGAGGTTCGCACCCTGCTGGTACTGTCGAGCTCATGGTGTTTCTTTTCCCAACAATGATTTTGCAGGTGCCACATGTGTGGCGCTTGGCACTCTGGTAAGGGACGTCGTGGTCTTGAAAGTCGTGCCCTGAAATGACTCATCTTGGAACCCTTGTACAACCTGTTTCTGCCTGCTTGCCTCATAACTCGGATAGGGACATAAGGGTATATTCCTCCTTCAACCGCAATCAGCACAAAGTGGTGGAAGCGTCACTGGAATATGATGATAAATTCGCTGTTGGGAACATCAAACATCATTGCACTTGTTCGGTCAGATTGTCGAAGACTCTGCCACTCTTTGGCACTTTCGGCTAGACAACTGTCCGAATGTAAGTCTATGCTTGGGTGATGGAAGGCATATGGTCGTTCAAGCCCTACGCGGAAGTTCTTGGCGATACTGGCCCCTTGAAGATGTTCTAATAACCGACAACTACAGCACAGGTTACAACTTTCGAAATGCTTGATCCCCCTTTGACAGCGCTCCATAAAAAAGAGGCCCTGTGGATGTGGCTATGATCATGGGACTATAGTGATGTCTGTCCTTGATTCCTTCCCAATCAAAGTCTTAGCGACCATGGCCAATCCTAGTGTGGTATTTTTCGCCATTTTCATTGGAATAACTAATCAGGCCAAGAAGCAAACACATGAACAGAACACTCTAACGGTGGATGTGGGCCCAGAAGTGATAGAAAGCTGTCATGGAAGGTACGGTATGACTTACTAATGGCCATATCTCTTCATTACAGATATTCGAAGGGTATGTAGGATTCCTTTAGCATCCAAGTCAGCATTTTTCTTCAGCCCCATCATCTTTAAACCTTTACCCAGTTAGGTTTCGCGGCACCAAATAACCCAGAGCCTATCCCATGTAGTCCACAAGTCCCCCAATTCCTCTAGGAGTGGTGTATTTCCTATGTTTGCAAAGAATCACAAGCCCTTTAACTATCCCAGAACAAAGCGGCAGCTCGATCACCTATTGTTTGCTTCAATGTCCTATGTAGAGAAGGTAATTGCAGTGCTTTCTACGTGTTTCTTGTCCTCTGAGGGAACAGTTCTCCCACAATCGAGTAGGCAATGGTAGATGTTTGGCTAACACATACCAATCTGGGGACCCGTGCCTCATTGTTCTAGCTAAAAAAAAAGGTTAGGCCTTCTCCCCACTTAGACTCGACTTTTGTACACTCATAATTAACATATTGGCTATTTAGTTCTCCAAATTAATGCACGAACGTGGGTTTTGTCTGTTTGGGATTATGGAAACCCAGGTGGACTTTTGGATAAGGCCTCGTCTTAAAGGATTTATTATGTGGAAACATATTAACCGACTAGGTTTGACCATGATGCATGCCAATTACGATCAGAGTAAGGTTACTTTGGGTCTAGACTGGTACCCCCTCAAGGCAACTTGAGGGGGAAAGGCACGGAAACGCGTCGACTGCATCCGCCGATCGACTAGTTTTTACCGGCATGCAATAAGCCTTTCCGAATTTAAG